CAAGAATCTTTATTTGTGTGTGAGTATGTTTGTGTGTGTGTTTGTGTGTGGGTGTGTGTTTGTGGGTGTTTTCGCTTGTGTGTGTGTTTGTGTGTGGGTGTGTGTTTGTGGGTGTTTTTGCTTGTGTGTGTGTGTTTTTGTATGTATTTGTCTATGTGTCTGTGTGTCTTGTTTATATTATGTGTTTAAGTTTTACACATAAGACACACCGAGTAGTATGACCGACCAGTTTACAGAGGGGATCTCCCAGTGTCCAGTCGATGGTCAGTCTGGTTGTGACCACAATAGGAATCCTTACGTGTGCCTGTGTGTGTATGTGTGTATGTATGTGTGTGTGTGTATGTGTGAGTGTGTTTGTGTGTGTGTTTGTGTGTGGGTGTGTGTTTGTGGGTGTTTTTGCTTGTGTGTGTGTGTTTTTGTATGTATTTGTCTATGTGTCTGTGTGTCTTGTTTATATTATGTGTTTAAGTTTTACACATAAGACACACCGAGTAGTATGACCGACCAGTTTACAGAGGGGATCTCCCAGTGTCCAGTCGATGGTCAGTCTGGTTGTGACCACAATAGGAATCCTTACGTGTGCCTGTGTGTGTATGTGTGTATGTATGTGTGTGTGTGTATGTGTGAGTGTGTTTGTGTGTGTGTTTGTGTGTGGGTGTGTGTTTGTGGGTGTTTTTGCTTGTGTGTGTGTTTGTGTGTGGGTGGGTGTTTGTGGGTGTTTTTGCTTGTGTGTGTGTTTGTTTGTGTATGTATTTGTCTATGTGTCTGTGTTTGTTTATATTATTTGTTTAACATTTACACATACGACACACCGAGTAGTATGACCGACCAGCTTACAGAGGGGATCTCCCAGAGTCCAGTCGATGGTCAGTCTTGTTGTGACCACAATAGGAATCCTTATGTGTGCGTGTGTGTATATGTGTGTATGTATGTGTGTGTGTGTGTGTGTGTGTGTGTGTGTGTGTGTTTCTGTGCGTTTAAGATTTTATCAAGGATAAAGACAAAACAAGCAGAACAACAGACCAGTTTACAGAGCGGGTCCCCCAGAGTCCAGTCGATGGTCAGTCTGGTTGTGACCACTATAGGAATCCCCAAGGAGAAGAGCAGCTCTGAGCAGGCGAGGTTGATGAGCAGGGAGTGGGTCCCTGTGTGAGCACATCGGTCACGTGACAAGGCGCTTATCATCTGGAATATTAGGTAGAATACAATTGCGAAGTGTTTGCAGCACACAGACATATACACACAACACACACACACACGCTAGCACACACACAAACGTACACACACCCTCACACACCCCCACACACACACGTGTGCGAACGCG